ATATCTTGAAAAATATAAAATGGCAATTTCACAAAATTCAAAATTAGCCTATTTTGTGAAATAGAAAATTTGCCTAATTAATGAAATCAGCAGTTGATGGCCAGTTTTGCAAATTATTCAAGTATTTGCTTATGAATTCTAAATGAACAACATTCCCAGATTTGGCATAACATATATACATTTTTATCTGGAATAAAATTCTATTATTCTAAATATAGAAAGAATTGATTTATATCATCTAGATATTGTTTGAGAAATCCAAATATTCATAAATTATTCTAAAAATAGAAATTTTAGTAATTTATGAATATTTAAATGCTAAAAAAAAAACAAAAAAGATACAAACTGATGATGATGCAAGTTAACAATTTAGAAATGTACTTTGATTATGAATATTAGAAATTCCATTTATCAATATGTTATAGATCTTTCCAAGTTTGTGCAAAGTAAAATTTGTGTATAAAAGTTGGGATCTGAAGCTGTAACTATAAAGGTTTTGAAAAATATTTTATCCAGAGAAATTACTAACTTGTTTATTTTTCATCACCATGTATTATTTTTATAAAGATGTTTAAATTTTATCAGGCATTTATTTTTTGGATTTATTTGTAATCTTTGATTTCAGTTAACATTGTAAAATTATATTATTTTACCTTTCAGAATGTATAATTTAATCTTCAGTTTAGATGAATGGCATAATTTTGTTAATTCAAACTGTCAGTTTGTTATATGTTTAAAATGCTTAATTAATAGAGATGACAATGACTTTCTTATATTTGTTATATACAGTAGAGTGTCTATCCGAAAGCTGGTTATCCGAAATGTCCGTTATCCGAAAGCATTCCAGTCGGCAAATTTAAATTTTCGCTAGTGTTGTGGCGCTGCAATCTTCGGCTATTTCTCGGGCTACTCAAATATTTTACGTTTTTGATACTAAATTAACTTCTGAAGTATAATTTTTTATTGTTTTTATATTTTTCAATAAATTTATTTTGTTTGTACAAAATAAAAAAATAATTTTTAACGATACAATAGTCTTCGTTAGGCTTAACATCGACGAAAATTCAACGCGAAGCGACACGCAACGGAGAGAAATTTCAACATGGGATAAATTAATATATTTTTTCGTACATGATTTGTTATCCGAAAAATAAGTTATCTGAACCACCCCAGTCCCCAATTGATTCGGATAAACGACGCTCTACTGTATTCATAAAAAGTGGATAAATGGGATATTAAAAAAGTCAAATTGGATTTTGATTATGAAAAAAACTCAAAATTGTAGATACATATTATAGGTTATATATGTTGTTTTCATTGATTTTTTGATTATGGTGGTGATGGTATAAATTATAGTATTTCTTACTTTAATATAGCGAATATTTTACAAATGTATTTAATTTAAAATTATTAATGTATTTGATTATTCTGTATCATTATTACATGTTACAGGAATGTTTGTACCAATATGCATTTTTTTCCTTGAATAGACCAATAACTGTTTTCTGTTTAGATCAGGTGTGGCCAAACTTTTATCCCTTAGGGGCTACTTTTTTGGTAAAATATAGTCTGCGGGTGACTACGAATATGGGCAATTTTAGGATTTTTATAAGCGCATGTGTTAACATTCATTTGCATTGTTCATCGGGATAAATACAAACAGTATGAGTACGTTGCACAGACAGTCTATTATTGTAAGAATAAATTATCGAATTAAGATTTTTAAACATTAATTTAAGTGAAAGCAAATTGTTCAACTTTAACTTCGTGGGCTACTTTTAAAACATTTGCAGTCGACCGTGGTCTACGTGTTGGCCATCCCTGGTTTAGATGATTATTTATTGTGCTAGTCTTAATTTTGCCTACTATGTATTGAAATTTTAGATTGTTTTAAATGTATTTTAAAGTGTTTTTTCATTAATTATATTGTATAAATTTTTTAACATTATTTTTAATTATCCAGAATATAATAATTTTATTTTTAAATTATTTTGCTTTAAACCTGATGATGGCTGTTTAAACTAGTTGAAAATATTCATTTTAAGTAATAATTTTTGTGATAAATTAAATTTCTAATAAGTGTTTTGAGTAAATCAGTAGGAAAGTTAAATTTTTGCAGATAATAAACTTTAATAAAAATATTTTAATGGATGTGTTAGTTAATAGAGTTAACATCATCATATTTCAGTAATAATTAATATATACCTCTCTTTTTAATTATTCATTGTCTATTGTAGTAATTTATCATCAAGATTTATTGGTACAAATAAACAAATCTAGTAGAATAATATATTTCAAATGAAATGAATTGAGAAATGTAAAAAAAAATAAGATTATCATAATCCTGTGTAAATTTTAGCAGAGTATTTAATAACTGTTTTAACATATTATATTTTAAAAATCTAGTAAATTGTGACATGCTCTTTATTAGTTTAATAAGAAAGAGTCTATTTTTTTGCATACTTTTATGTCTAACTCAACAGAAAAAATTTTTTTTTTTTTCTGTAAGCTTTCATTTATGTGTTAACTTTATTATAATATACATTGATATCTATAAAATTGAATGATTTATTAGCAAAATATTTCTGAATTTATTTCATTATTATTCATTTTCTAATATCAAAAAATTAATTACTTTTCATTCTAAGTAATAGCAATCTGATTGAAACTGATGAATAGTGTTAATATCTGGCATAATTTTTATGCCAGATTTTAAAGCTATATTAAATAATTAGTTTTATATAAATTTGGTCTTCATTTACATGAGGGTTTTACTCTCTCAAATTATGGTATATATTAATTTATATGAATTGAAACTCAAAAACTATAGTAAATCACAGACCAGATTCCAAAACAATTTTTCATAAAAAGCCTATGAACTAATTATTAATTAATGTAATTTATTATTTATTTTATTGGTACAGTAATACAGTAGAGCCTCGATTATCCGACCCCCTATCAACTGACCCCTCGGTTAACCGATCGTCCTAGTCGGCAAATTTCAAATGTCCGCTAGTGATGTGGCGCTACAATATTTGTCTATGTCTTGGCTACTACGTGTTTTAGCTGGCAACACTGGATCGACCATAAAAGGGAGCCAGTATTTAAACGAGGCTTAACTTTCTAATTTTTAACGATAAAATAGCAATGATTTATTATTTTAAAAAATTTTTGTTAGGCTTAACATCGATGAAAATTCAATGCAAAGTAGGTTAATAGCGATATACTAATATACTAATTACATGGGATATAATAATATACTACACTAATAATAGATTTTTTCATACTTTTCAGTTATCCGCCCTTTCAATTATCCGACCAACCCCAGTCCCCGATTAGGTCGGATAATTGAGGCTCTACTGTACCTCGACTTAAGCTACCCCGACTTACGCGAACCCGGAGTTACACGATTTTCAAATCTCGTCGATTTGTCTTTTGTTTGAGCGCCACGCGACTCTTGATTACTCACTCCCCCACACTATTGTTCAGCTTACCTGTTAGGACATGTCGCGCGGAATCAACACGTAGCTACAATTTATTTTGTGTTATTTATTTCTGTGTTTGTTATATCTACGGAGACTCGAGAGACTCTATGTGGTGATTTCTTGTAACCATGAACTAATCAAAAGATGAGATAAGATTAATGAGAACATTTATTAGCTTACATACATCCGACTTGGATTTTATACAAATTGAGAAATTATACCACGAGTTACGCGAATTTGACTTACGCGGTTATTGCTCAGTCCCACCTATCGTGTAAGTTCGGGGTATTACTGTATTAGAAAAATAATAATAAATTTAATTATTAAAATTATATATACTGAAAAGTTTACATCTTAACCTGAGTTAGACTGTTTCACATAATTAATTGAAAATCATATAACACCTCAAGATTCTGTTAGAGTTCATTTGAAGAAGCTTAGACTTGAAGGCTATGAGTTGTTATTGATTTGCTAGAAAGATCTCAAAAGCAATATTTGCTAAATATTCTTTTTGGTCAGAATAAGGTTATATGGAATCACAGTATTGTAAAGTTTCTTTTCATCAAAGCCTTATGCTTATAATTATTACACACACTTAGTCTCCCAGACTTCACACATTTATAGATTAACAATGATTTATACTTGGTAACTTTGTACATTACTGTGAAATAGTAATGTTAGACATTTCTTAGATATTTTATAACTGGGTATCTTTTGTTCTTACTGCTGTCTTTTTGAATAAAGGCCAGTCTAATTAGTACTGATAATTGCTTTGTTATGTAGACTTCCTTCTTGGTAATATTCAATAGTTATAGGAATTCTGTTAGTTGCAAGTTTGTACTTGTAACCTGCTTCACTAATCTTGATGTTATGTAGGTTGTATTGTAAAATTTGTCCAATCAGTCTACATTAGCATAAAAATGCACTCCTTATAACTTTCTGCAGCTTGCAATGATATTTAATATTTTCTACCTAATGATGCTTTCATTAATAAGGATATCTTTTGATTATTATATTTAATCCATGTTAATAACATTGATTCCATTGAACTAACAGCTGATTATACATATGTTTTCATATGTGTAATCAGCTGTGTTTTCATACTAAAAGCCTACTGTGATTTACTTTATGGCTTCTTAGTCTGATCTTGTGAAGCTTTAGTAAGGGATATCTAAGAAAGTATTAGCCTAATTGAAATATGAAACTCTATCACCACATGGTGAGATCACAACATTCTGATCTTAAAATATCCAGAAAACAACTCCAATAACAAGTGTTACAAACTTAGTGACCAAATAAATTGTGTTTAATATTTTAAACACAATTTATTTGGTCACTAAGTTTAATATTTTAAACTTCATTAATATACAAAAAGTTATATGAACTTTGTAAGGATTTATCCTAGCCTATGATTTAAATATAGCAAATATGAATTTACTTTATAATTGCCATTTAAGTATTTCATTAAAAATATTTATAGGATTGTATATAAATATAATTTAATGCTTTTTTCAGTCCACCAAAAACAAGAAAAGCCAATCCTCCTCAAAAATTTTTTTCATCATCATCATTAGTTGCTGATTTTTACCTTGGAAATCTTCAGGCACTTAACACTCTAATATCAGAAAATGATATTGCTATTGTTTTGTATTATGCACCTTGGGATGCTGGAAGCATGCATGCTAAAGAAGAATTTGAAACAGTTGCTCGATTTTATCATACTGAGGTGAGTTAGTTTTGAAAATGAAAATATGTTTACATAGTTTTGAAAAAATGCTCTTGGAATAGAATGGTTTCAGGAGCAATTTTTTGCAATGAATTTTAAAATATTTTTTAAGTTAAACTGTTGCCTTGCCTGATTGTCAATGGCTGTGCTGACAGAAGAAAAAAACTTTACTAACTAGAACATTTTCAACCATTTTTAATGACCTTCCTTGAGTAGTGTAAAAAATGAAATGCCAAACAGAAGGTTAAATGCTAATATTCTAGAATAAAAATTTTTTGCTGCGTATTAAGGTTGTTTTGGTGTGCTTGTTATGCTACACAGCAGCTATGAATCAGCTGGGGAAGTTCATTTTACTATTTTTTGTTTTAAATTTATAATGAAAATGTTTCTTCAACATTTACAAAACTATGTATAAATGCATAGTTTTCCACATCTGTTGATATTGCTATTAACATAATGACAGCTGTTTACTTATCATATTTAAATCAGCTTTAATTTAATAATTATTTTGTTGTTTTTCATAGCTTGTACTTGACTACAAAATCTGTGAGTCAAATTTATTTGCTTGTTCTAAAACTAAGGATTAAATCTTAAAATGTGAGTTTGTGAGTTAAAATACCATATATACTATTACTTTCAGAGCTATTTGTTTTTTAATGTAATGTTTTAAAGATATAAATTATTGTCATTGTGATCTGTAACATCATAGTAATTGGTCAATGCTCTTATTTCTGTTTATCTCAAATTTTTTAACACCAATTGAATATTTTTGGATTCATTATTAAAGAATTGCTGCTGATGGTCTATATACTAGGCCAAAAACATTTAAGTTTGAAATTATATCACTGTTTAAGTTGGTTTATTCTTCAAGATATAAAGTATTATTATACATAACATTTTCTAACAGTTATTTCATGTATTCAGAGACTTAAAACATTTAGGATCTGAAGATGGTCTCTAAAAAAGACCAAAAATGTTAGTAATTAAATTAGTTTTGCTGTTTTTCAATGTGTTGTAAATGCTTGAATATCTATTGCTGTAGTTTTAGTTATTGTGATTTCATATTTTTTTTATAAAATTTTACAGGTATTCTTTGCTGCAATTAACTGTTGGTGGCCTGAAGGTGAATGCCATAAAACCTACAAATTTATTTCCTATCCTGTCATCATAGTCACTGTTCAGCATGCAGGAAATATTAATTATCAAGGACCTATGGTAGCAAATTATATCATATCATTTTTAGATCATGTGCTTACTCCTTTTGTGCATATTCAAAGTCAAGGAGATTTGTTAGATTTACAAGCAAAATATGAGGTAATTCTTTCTTTTTTTGAAAATAATACATATAATTTATTAAACAAAATACATGAAATTCTTTTTAATTTAAATTATTACAGGCAGTTTTAGTTGGATTTTTTGATTTTCAAATATCTGCAGAACCTATTGGTTATTCAGAATATTATGAAGCTTCTTTAAAAAGTTTATCTCATGGTGAGAAATTATTTTTTATGATGATAATTATAGTTAACTGTAACTATTACACGCTCCTTGAAGTAAAGAAGAATAGTATAGCACTAAAATAAATGAACAAGCCAAAGATTTATTTGACAGTTTCCTTTTTGGAACCAAACTTTCCATCTTAGACTTGTAACAAAATTGTCAAATTGACATACCAAGTCTGTAAGATCTGATGATGAGTTGTTTGGTTCCAAAAGATGCTTAATCTCAAATAATCTTGTATTCCTTCATTTATTTTAGCATTGTATTATTCTTCCTATTTATTAATTATAATTTTTATTTTAATAATCTGATTATTACTATTTTATATTTTTTTGTAGTATATATTGCAATATTTCGAGTTTAAGCAAAACTGTGTTATATTTAGTAATATAAAAGAGAAGAATGAGGAAAATAGTTTGTAATTTATGTAATTATTGTTTAAATTATTTTATGTTCAATCATTTTTCTCAAAAGAAATTGCAACTTTGAGAAATGGGTGAACTTAAAACTCAACTATCAGTAAAGCCATAATTGTGAACTCTTAGTATTAAAAGAAGTATTAAAAGTTAGTACAGTCGAGTCTTGAAAACTCGGCCTAATGTGGACCAAAGGGTGGCTGAGTTTGTGAAAATGCTGGGTTATCTGGAATGGGGTTAAAAAAAATAAGTATGAGTGTTTCCTCAGAAAATACTGTACTGTACTTGTATGTATTGTTTACTTGAGAATATAACAGAGAATAAACTGCCCAAATACCCTTAAACAAAGGAAAAGTATGTCCTTTATGAAGGCATAGAGCCTTTACTACATGAAAATGAAAATTAATGAATACACTGTGTACAATAATTTACCTGATAAGACAGACCTCAGAAAAATACTTTGAGGCATAAAGCTGTCTATAATGAAAATTAATTAACTAAGGATTTTTTGCCCTGCCAGGGTGTGGCCGAGTTATCCGGACTGCCGGGTTATCGAGTGCAGAGTTTTCGAGACTACTGTATATTGAAAAATATACAGGGGGAAAAAATAAATACATATGAATATGTATGGAGAATGGTTCAAAACAGTTAGTCCAGACTTGACCAAACAGGTGACTGTATCCTTTGACCTGTATGCTGGAGCATTATTGTGGTGTAGGAGCCATGTATCAAGCTGGATCTTGATCAGATGTTGAATGACTTTTGGCAAACATGTTTTGGTGTACCAGGAACTAGTGACTGTATGCAGTTTTTCTAGTATGATCCTATCCACAATATTGCAGTTTCCAAAGAATGTAGCAATCATTTGTTTCTTTGCTGAACATGATTTTCAGACTTATACTGGAGTTGCTTCATCTTCAAAGAGCCAAACTTTGCTTTGAGATTTTGTTGACATGTCATATTGTATTGTCAGGCATGCTGCATAAAACAGGGAAACCAGCATGCTAGAAACCCCAGGGTTACCGCCATGTCAGTTAAACTGCAAATAAAAAATAAAATTAATCAGGTGTAACAAAATTAGTTGTTAATTAAATGTTAAAGAAAACATTCTTTTGATTACAATAAAATAATAATATTGTAATTTGACTGACTTGAAATCAGGAAGAGCATTTTCATTTACAAGACAATAAAACAATTGGCGACTTATTGGTGGTAGTAGTAGTGGTAGTAGTAGTAAAGCGTGGATTGCACTGACCATCTATCCTTCCTTAAAAATAACACCTTCCTCTCAAATTTCACACAAAGTGGATCTTAATAGGTGTATAAGTCAAGATAATTTACTGCCAGTTTCTGAAGTTTGATAAGCTTATTTTTGTGTTTTTATATTGAATTAAATAAAATAAATGTAAAAATGCACTTTTGTCATCCCATTAGAAAGAAGACAAAATGAAGAAATAAACATTTAATTGTAGTTTTTGATGTAATACTGATAGTTTCACATTTTTAGAATAAAAACTCATTTGTTTTTGTGTGATGTAACTTGTTCGTTTTTTTAATGTGCCCTCTATAGAGGGATCTATAACCTCACTTAAACTGGTATGCCAGCATTCCTGGGATAAACCAACATGCCAGTTTTTACCGTATACAAATATCTGATTTCCTTGATTCCCCAGGATAGACCGGCATGCTGATCATTCTGCAAAAATACGGTAATAATAATATCATAAAGTGCTCAGCAAATAAATAAACAGAAACAAAACACTTTTTTTGTTGCCAAGAAATACATATAATTGAAAAAACAAACATTTTCAGCCCAATTAACAGGCCATCTTCATGTCGAAAAACGAAATTGGAATGAATATGTTCCATGAATAGAACACAAAAATTTAAATCAAAAAAATTTTTACAAGAGAATAACAACAACGGAAGAACATATAAAAATACAAAAATAGATAAAATTAAGATAAAATAACATAAATCTTCAAATATAACTAACTCTGGTCCGAGTTCCTAGTAAATTTCTTAACCATGAACTTCCACGCTGACGGCAGGCTTTTGGCATCCCTCACACTTAAACAGCCTTCTCCCAGCCTACTTTTATATACTTCAACCATCTCTGCTGTCATTGCTAAAGTTGGGGAAGACAGAGGTTTGATAATGGTTGCCTCGTCCCACTTCACCACAGATCCTTGGGTCTACTCCATTTGGGACAAAATTGTTGCATTAGACCCTTTTTTTTATGGTATATCTATGCTCCTTGAGCCTTATGCCCAAGCTCCTGGTGGTGACGCCGATATATATATTTTTAAAATTTTTGATTTAAATTTTTGTATTCTATTCAAGGAACATATTCATTCCAATTTTGCTTTTCGACCTGAAGATGGCCTGTTAATTGAGCTGAAAACGTTTATTTTTTCAATTAACAGGCCATCTCTCAGCAACAAAAAAGGTTAAAAAAACTTGAAATCAAGAAAGGGTGCATTCAGGATCATAGAGCAAGACATTATATAGGTAAATACAATAGAATTAATAAATTTATGAAAAAACATAATTTATGTTTATTAAAAGCAGATAAATCAAATCAAATAGTGATTATGGATTTATATGAATTAGAGAATAAGAAACAAGAAATAATATCTGAAGGAAGTTTTAAAAAATTGGAAAAAGATCCGTTTAATGAAATACAAAGAACATTAACAAGAAAATTGAAGAAATTATATAATTGTATATTGTATATTCAATTGTATATTTTTGATGATAACTTTTATGAAATTTATTTTTTTATGACCTTCTGGTGTTAAAAACTGTCATATTTAATTGTAATTTATATTTGAAGCACTATTGATTAAAGTAATTAATATACATTATTATATTTTAGATCCCACAAGACGCTTAGTATTTGCTATCAGCACTTGCAAAAAATCAGCAACAAAGTTAAAACTGAATGAATCTCCATCATTGACACTTTATCTTTGGAATCAGTCAGAGGTATTTATTTATTGATTTTGAAATATTCATTTTCTCAGATATTTTACTAAAATATTTCTTTTATTTTCAGATATATCCAAACACTAAACTCAAAATGAATGAAATATTAAAATGGGCTTTTAGTCGATTACATCAGGTATTTAATGCATAATTTTTACTTATTTGATTAAAATACAGTGATATCTTGTACTTCAGATTTGATTCATTCCAGGAGGCTATTTGAACTCTGAATTGTTTGACATCCAAATCAATTTTTTCCATTGGAAATAATGAAAAGTGAATTAATCCATTCCCAGACTCTAAACAAGTTTATTAAAATGGGTATTTTACCCATTTTAATAAACTTAAAAAGCAAATACACATAATTTAAGGTAAAAATAACACAGGTTAATGCCCTAAATAATAAAATAAAATATGAAAAAAACAAATAAAATGCATAAGTACTATATAATAAAATGAAAATTGCATTCACTGGGGACATGTTACCAACTTTGATCCTATCACTAGATCCACCACATGAGTATTGCTTTCATGCTTTCCAATATGTTACTTTTTCATTTCAGTAGTCTTCAATATTACATCCTTCCTCTTAAGCTTGTTGCTTCCACACACTTCTCAGATGACATGGTTGAAAAATAAAGGTTACATTGTATTTATTGAACAAAGCTTTTGTGTATTTTTAACAGCTGTCATTACATAGCGTATATGTATGATTTAACTACAATACTGATGAAATTTAACACATTATTGTTAAAATGAGATTGTACTCTTCAGATTTTTGTATAAACTTTTTACTTGATATTTTCTTTGGATAAAATCAAGTTGTAATGTCTTCAGATAAAAAGCATATCAGACATATTATGCATTGAGTTTCAGAAGGGATATAATGCTGTACAGACAGAAAAAGTGTGATGTGTGGGGAAGGTGTACCTAAACTTTGAACATGTCTAATCTGGTTTAAAAGTTCTGTTCAGGAAATTTTGAACTAAAGGATCAAACATACAGGGTGCCCAAAATCTCTAGACAAAGAAAAGTTACAGGAAGAAATTGTTAAAAATTAACAAATAACACACAATATATTTAATCAAACACACCACAAATAAAGTAGAAAAAGCACTGAAAACATACAAGCAAGAGTGTAAGAGTGAGATAGAAGCAACTTGAGCATGTAAAAGATTGCATTTATATTCTTAGTGCATTTTTTCATTGCACACATAGTTCGGACATTGAAACATCATTTGAACTCTGAAGCAAATTTTTGTCAAATTTAATGTTCAAAGGTAGAGTTGTTTGATGTACAAGGTATCACTGTATAAACTTTTTATCTTAATTTCTTTCTTTATTGTATGAATCATTTTTATTGTTTAATGCTATTTCTTGAATAATAACTGTTTTAAAAATTTATGAATACATCTTGAAAATTTTAAACAAGGTATAAAATGATATATTAACAAAATGAAATTTATTTTCATCCTGCCTTGAAGATTTTAATTAACAGTATATTCAAATAACATATACAGTGGATTCTGCTTAATTGGGACATATTGGGACTAATCCGTTTTGGCCCAATTAAGCAGGTTCCCCAATTAAATGAACTAATAATAAATTCTATAATAAAAATGTATAATAAAACTTAAAACTTAACAAAACTAATTAATGCACTTTAAAAAATTATGTAGAGTGGATTCTGCTTAATTGGGACACCAGTTAATTGGGGCAAATGCTTTATTGGGCCAAATCTCAAAGAACGAAAACCAAACTAATAAATTAATACATAATTTAATCACTTAATTTGTACAGTAGCAGAAAAGGAATTTAGCAATTTTTGATATATTTTAGTAATCTTCCGAAAATATGTAGACAACTATGTACACTAATTTCATGTAAGCCTAATGGTTGGCAGAGACAAAATGATTTTGTCTTTTGCTCTGACAGTTTGGTTTTTCTGAAGGAGGTCAGCATAGCGGGGTGTGTGATATGCCCCGCTATGCTGACCTCCTTCAGATTTTATCTGAAGTGGACCTGAATGCAAGTTACTAACCCTGCTCTGGATTGAACCAGATGATCCCCTCAAAAGTGAAGGGACAAAGATCGCCATACNTTTGCTTGATCATGAAGCTTATGGCAGAAATCAAGATGGTGTTGCTTTCGGTTGAACATCCTGAGCTTAGGGATGAACTTGGCAAACCAAACTAAAGATGCTAAAAAGCATGCAATAAAATATCTGTTGGTCTAATGAGCTAAATAATAATAATAATTAGGTACCTATTTTAATGCTTTATTAAACCAAAATACAGAAAATATTTGTATTATAAATTTGCCAGACTCACGACGATAGATAACTGATTCACATAATGCTAGTGTTGTCAAATATTAGTAGTGACGTACACAAGAGTAGACTGTTAGATCTGTTTCTGATTGGACAATTTTTCCTTTCGTTCTTTTTAGTTAGAACATGTTCTAACTAGAAAGGGAGAAAGAAAAGGATTCTTCCAAAAGTCATTTTATGGTTTTCTTTTGAGCACAGTTTCCTTTATTTGGAAATGGGCCACTTCGGCAGGAGTGTCCGTAGAATCCACCAGCTTGATGCTGGTCTAAACAATTGGAGGCAGCTGTCTGAATCTAAACATAATTATGCACACAATACCTTCCAAGGGAACTCTAGCTGTCTTCCAACTCAGTTGAGAGACCTTGAAAAATTGTCTGGCAATCTTTGTCTCTTTGCTTTTAAAGGGATCATCCAGTCCATTCCAGAGCAGGGTCAGTAACTCGCATTCAGGTCTGCCTCAGATGAAATCCCTGTGTGATACATCCCGCTATGCTGTGACCCCCTCTGGAAAAACCAAACTGCTCGAGCAAAAGACAAAATCACCTTGTCTCTGCCAACCGTCAAGCCTACATGACATTAGTGTATTTAAGTGCCTACGTATTTTCAGAAGATTCTTAAAATATATCAAAAATCGCTAAATTCCTTTTCTGCTACTGTCCCAATTAAGCAATTAAATTATGTATTAATNAAGCACTTTTGGAATTCCAAGAGTATTTTATGTTAGAAAGAAGACAAAATGAAGAAAATCAAACGTATAATTGTCAGCATTACATCAAAAACTACAGTTTCACAGTTTTAGAATAAAAATGCATTTGTTTTACCTGACATAACTTTTCATTTTTTTAATGTACCCTGTAGAGAGGGATGTACGTGTAACCTCACTTAAACCAGCATGCTGGAAGATTTCCTGGTCTTCCAGATAGATCAACATGCCAGACAATCTGTGAAAATACAGTAAGAAAGAAAATCTATAACATCTGTACTGAAAAAAGCTAGTTGTTTGTTCTTAACAATATTGTTGTCTTGAAGAGCTTATAGTATTAATATGTTATATGTACTGTACTTGACTTGAACCTTTTATATTATAAATTCATACATAGAAGAAATACAATAATGTAAAAGGACAAATATTTAAGAGTTATATTTTGATGACTTATATATCTTAATGGTTAAAAAAAAACCAGTAAAACTATAATTAAATTTGTTTGGTTTTTGAAGGTATGTTAAATTTAATATTTAGATACTAAAAATATAATATATGCATTTATATAAGCAGCTAGAGTAATTCTAATGAAAAATTTATAATTTATTTCAGCACCTAAAACATGTCTGAGTAATCAGTTTCGATGTATGAACTCTGTCTGCATTCCACAAGTTTGGGTTTGTGATGGTGAAGATGACTGTCATGATAAATCAGATGAACCAAGTAGTTGTGGTAAGTTAAATATTTTGTATCAAAAATACTGTTATACATAGTGTATGAAAATAACTAATGGATTTTAAAAGGAGCGATTTCTCCATTTGTTTCAAAGCACCTCGAGGTGCTTTGAAACAAATGGAGAAATCGCTCCTTTTAAAATTAATTAAAGTGAAACGCAAATCATTGGCGGAAGCTGACCGGACGTCTGGATTAATTTATTCAGGCGGTTAAAAAAATAACTAATGGATTACATAAACTCATTTAGTTTAGGAAAATACACATAGCCACACTATTTGTCAAAAGTCAAAAAGATTTCACACTTTTAAGAAATCCCAATATATGTATCATGTATTATTCTCACAACATTGAGACAATATACAATTTTTTTCTACGTGTTATGTAACATCTTGAGTGATAGTTTCATTTGCATTTACTATGCAACCTTTTAATATTTCAATATCTGTAACATTGTTTTTTTCATAAAACTCCTTCACATAAGCTCTTTCAAATATTTCTTGTGGAGTTGTGTGAAGGGTAAGGGATGGGAACTCAATTGATTCATCTTGCCTATCCACTGGTTAGGAAAACCTTCCTTCGAAAGTTCCTTTTGTAACAAAAAAGGGCCACGTGTTTTTGTAATGCCAGGAAAAAACTTTTACATTTTACTTATGATTACTGAAAACCAGAGGTCTTCATCTGTTTTTCTTAAATAATAATTTTCCTAATCCATCAGTTCTTTTTCAGACACCCTGTATTTTCTTCATATCTTTTCTGCTTTGTTTTTTAATTATATAAATAAAGTTAAAAATCTTCTTATCATTTAAGAATTTGACAAAATAATAATCATTATCATTATCCACAAATCACAAAATATAGTTAATTTTATTTAAAAATAATTATATAAAAAATTATGTAGAGTGGATTCTGCTTAATTGGGACACCGGTTAATTGGGGCAGCTGCTTTATTGGGCCAAATCTCAAAGAACGAAAACCAAACTAATAAATTAATACATAATTTAATCACTTAATTGGTACAGTAGCAGAAAAGGAATTTAGCAATTTTTGATATATTTTAGTAATCTTCCGAAAATATGTAGACAACTATGTACACTAATTTCATGTAAGCCTAATGGTTGGCAGAGACAAAATGATTTTGTCTTTTGCTCGGACAGTTTGGTTTTTCTGAAGGAGGTCAGCATAGCGGGGTGTGTGATATGCCCCGCTATGCTGACCTCCTTCAGATTTTATCTGAAGTGGACCTGAATGCAAGTTACTAACCCTGCTCTGGATTGAACCAGATGATCCCCTCAAAAGTGAAGGGACAAAGATCGCCATACAGTTTTTTGAGGTCTCTTGACTGAGTTGGAAGACAGCTAGAGTTTCCTTGGAAACTGTTGTGTGCATAGTTACGTCTGCATTCAGATTGCAGCCATCCAATTGTTGAGACCAGCATCGAGCTGGTGGATTTCGTGGACACTCCTGCTGAAGTGGCCCATCTCCAAGTAAAGGAAACTGTGCTCAAAGGAAAATCATAAAATGACTTTTGGACAAACCCTTTTTTCCTCCCTTTTTAGTTAGAACATGTTCTAACTAAAAAAGAAAAAAAAAATAAGGAAAAATTGTTCAATCAGAAATGGATCAAATGGTCAACCTTCGTTTACATCACTACTAATATTCGGCAACACTAGTATTATGCAAATCAGTTATCTATAGTCATGAGTCTGGCAAATTTATAGTACAAATATTTTCTGTATTTTGGTTTAATAAAGTGTTAAAATAGGTACCTAATTATTATTTTTTACCTACTTCTTTATCTACCTACGTATTACATATTTTATTATAGAATTTATTATTAGTTCATTTAATTGGGGCAGCAGCTTAATTGAGCCAAAATGGATTAGTCCCAATGTGTCTGAATTAAGCGGAATTTTTCTTAAAATTCTTCCCTAAAGATAAGTTAAGGTTATTAAATTGGTGTTGTGATCATGAATTTTTTATTGGAATCCACTCTACACAGTAGAGAGTCAATTATCCAAAAAAACCTATTAACTAAAATTGACTTTAGAAGTTACTAGTTTCAGAAATTATGAAGTTTTTATATATTAATAATTGTTGTTGATCTTCTATAGCTATCTTGTTAATTTTATTATTATATATTTTTTATTTTGAATTCAAAGTTTCTTCAGTATTTTGTAGATTGCAATGAAAGACTACTTTTTTTTTTCATAAAGTAGACAATTTTTTCATTAGATAATAAACATCTCTAAGCCCAATGAGTATACAGGTAACCCCCGTATAACATGGCATTTCTATAGCACAGATTTGCTCTAACATGGTTCGAGAATTGGGAACATCTCCTATATAACACGGTGGTTTTATAGCACGGGTTCACTCTAACATGGTTCGGGAATTGGGTAAAACCCTCATACAGCATGAAATGTAATAAAGGGTGCGTTCTTTTATACTTCCGCGTAACTCCGCGCGAGCATTCTAATTGTTTTCCTGGCTACATTGAATGCTCTTTCAACAAATAATCCATTTAATAGTTAAATTTTACAATTGGGACCCTTCTTTTGCCTCTAAAAGATCATTTTAGAATTATAGATTCTTCCATCGTTCCTAAATGCCTACAAACAGCAGCGCACTCTTGTTGCAGAGCGACCGCTATTAACAAATGCACCCAAAAACTGTTACCAGTTGATGATGCTCATGCTGAGATCATCATATAGGATGAATAATCCTCTGGTAAAATATTTACGTAAATAATAAATAAGTATTTTACCTATGAAAAAAAATGAATAGTAAATCTGATTTAAATAAGGATTTAACAGCATGTTTTTTAATTTTTGGAACCTAACCCCCCTTTTCGCACTAGTTCTTTGTTTCGTATAACATGGCAATTTCTTGGAACGTAACTCCTGTGTTATACGGGGGTTACCTGTATAATGAATTACCAATGATTGCCTTTAAGATCAGGCTATAATTTGGCTAATTAAATGATTAATGTAAAGNTTATTTTTATTAAAATAAGCTTAAATCTTTCAGTTTATAATTATTTCATATATTCAATTACAAATATAAATTTTGTACAAATTCCAATAAAATAATTCTTGATAAAAGGATGTTTAGTTTTGGCAATTGTTTGTAGGTTCAATTATTATAGTATTTTTAATTTGAGCCAGAATTACAACTAATTTTTCTAATATGAGGGCAGGCTGAAAAGTAATGCGTACATGCTTGTAGAGCACAAACGAAATGATTTTCAGAAGCGTGTCAGGTGGCATATGGAAGTAACATTCCCCCTCTATGTGTATGTGCAGTTTGAGATTGTTGCGTTCATTCAGTATATTTTGAGAAGCGGAAATATAGAGACATGTTCTGGTGCTATGTCAACACGAGTTAAACAGCATGCTGTTATCGGAGTTTTAACTGCTGAAAAAATTATGTTTAAAGGCTGTTTATGGTGACAATGCTGTTGATAGGTCTGTTGTAAATTGATGGATAATAAAATTTTGTGGTTGCGAGCCTGGAAAAGCCATACTTGTTGATGAAACACGCAGCGGAAGTCCAATCACTGGCACAGACAATTACTGTTGCACCTTGTTGCAATGTTTAATTCTTCTCAGTACATAAGACTTTAAAACACTTCTGACGTTGAGTTTGACATGTTAGAGGCAGCCTGGCACCAATAATCTTGCAACATGACAACGCTCATCCACACACCTCGTGCGCAACTGGAGAGGCTCTGCAAAACCTGAAGTTTGAACCGATTCCACACCCTCCTTATTTCCCCAATATTGTGCCTTGTGATTTTTATTTGTTTTCTCTACTTAAGAGAGACCTCAAGGGTAATCATTACACCTCAGACGATGAGGTAAAGGCACCTGTCAAGTCCTGGATTCGAGAAAAGTCAGGAGAATTTTTCAGTGACGGAATGAAAAAACTTGTTACACGTTGGGAGAAATGTGTTAGTCATCATTAAGGCTATGTTGAAAAATAAATATATGATTTTGAAGCTTAAGAATTGTACTTTAATGTACTTTTTGCCCGATCTTGCTATTTGTTTTTGTTCGTGTTCTACAAGCATGTGTGCATTACTTTTCAGCCTGCCCTCATATAAACCATCTTATGTGTGTAATTTTTTCAGTAATTACATGTACAGTGGGTGATCGGTTAACGAACAGATCGGTTAATGAACAAATCGAATAACGAACACTTTTGTGAAAGATTTTTATGATTGGACAATGAACACGTGTTCGGATAACAAACACTTCACTGAACAAACACAAGAAGAAGCGACGTAAAATAACGAATACCAATTGGTCTTCCTTTGTCTTCAGGTAACAATTCGAAGCTTTTCGGAGCACGGGAGACGTTGACATTGACGTTCAACCCAGAATATACCGATCGGATAGTATTCCCCCGAACTTTGAAACTCTCCCTTGTAATTCCAGCCATTTATATTTCTGATAGAAACAATTCTTTTACGTTTTCTTCTGAAAAAGCAGATTTATGCCGATATCTGCTATTAAAGATCTTTTGAAGAAGTGGGAGGATGTCAGAACAACGGTCTTAAAATGGCATCCAAACCAGATTGAGATTGAGCTTAGGGATCTCTACAATTACAATGCAATTAATTAATTCTGAAAAATCATGAAGAAGACAAAAGCAATCGACATTGGACAGATTCTTTAACCCCCATAAACAGAAAAACATGACAAATAAAAATGCAAGGCCGTGTATATATGTATTTTTATTATTATATATGAATAAACATAGTAAGAAAGTATATATTTTATTTTTTATTTTTTGGAGGTCTCCAGATTAATCAAATTCCCATAGAAACCTATGGTAAATCGATAATCGGTTAACGAACAATTCGGATANAAAAGACAAAAGCAATCGACATTGGACAGATTCTTTAACCCCCATAAACAGAAAAACATGACAAATAAAAATGCAAGGCCGTGTATATATGTATTTTTATTATTATATATGAATAAACATAGTAAGAA